ATCCAGTTACCTCTCTGGCGTGGGTTCAATCCCCGGGAGATGGTTTGGTAGGTTAGCGCGGAAGAAGGTAGTCTAGTACTGGTGTAACTCTCCAGGAACGATGGTTAGGAAACTACCCTCCTATATGACAGAAATACTGTTGGGAAAAGGCGTAAAATGAAACAAACAGACAAACAAACAAAACAAAAGTGTGTTAAAATGGATAAGGACTTTGATTTAAGCCAACTTTTTCAAACTGACACATGTTACAATTGCATAACTGCACAGGATTTGGTTAATATAAACGATAACAGTGATACTGATGGACGATTTGATTCTGTAAATGTTGTTACTGATAGCCATTTATCTCTGCTGAAAGCGCAGCGAATACCAAGAAATAGACGCAAATAAATTGGTTGGGCTATGTCTTGCTTTGAAGACTGGGCGCAGTGGCGAAACAAGCAATGGGTGATTTGGGGCGGTCCCAGTTGACCTAGCTGTTCAAACCTTAGTCAGTTTAGACAATTGATTGTCTCGATCGATTTATCGTGGACTGTCGTAGGAAAGATGGACAGAACTATCCCCAAATACGTTATATAACATTACAACATCCATTCAGCGTACTTTGAGAGACGACCATGGTCGCTTTGATGTGAAAATTCTGGACGAGAGTGACAAGTCATTCAGCGAGTTCCGAAAAGCGCTAGACAGTCGCATAAAAGTATTAACCAGTGCAGTTAACATTACCTAAATAACTGTTAAATAATGAATAACAGTCTCGACTCTAGTGGAAAAATATAATTCTAGAAATATCAAGGAGGGTGCGATCTTATAGGAATGACTTACTTTTATGAGATCAAAATATACAGCAAACATGTATTGATGTATTTATACGGTACGGAAGCTGCTAATTTCCTTCGCCATCCCCACCGGAACCAACATTGAACTTATAAAATGTCATTATTCGTAGCCCTGGCTGATCGATGGTTCTACTCGCTAGTTATAAAATACAGTCGGAAATATGTTATGTATCATTAACGCATGTGACAGCTATTGCGTGTACACGCGATAGCTAGTACGTGTGAACAAGATAGTTAATATGTGCACACGTAATAGCCGTCGCATGTGAACATAATGGCCGTCAAATAAAATACTGGCGATGTCACCTTTATACCGCCAAAAGAAATGTAAGAAAAACTGCCTGTATATACATGTATCTTTTAAGCTTAACTCAAACCTTTTCATTTATCAGTGATCTCCGTTATTTTTTTCGAACTTCAGGTATTGGTATTCACCGCGACAGAATAAGACGGGAAAATCGTGCGTATATATGGTGTAAAATAGACAACGGTTTAGCGTTGTCTATACGATATATACAACGGAAATAATGCGCCGTGATTGGTCAATTCGGAGCAAGCGTGGTCTTACGCTTTTATTATAACAACATAACAGCTGCTTATTGGGGCGAAGGTATTATTATCCCAGTTTTCAAAAGTGGAAATGCGGATGATCCAAAAAATTATAGAGGTATTACCCTTATTAATATCTTGGGGAAAATTTATTCTCAAATCTTGTTAAATCGACTCACAAAATGGTCACAAAATGGTCGAGAAAATACGAAAAGATTAACACTTACCAGTTTGGCTTTCAAAAGGGCAAGTCAACAGTAGACTGTATTTTTATTCTACATTCGTTAATTGCAAAAGTACTAAGTGAGCGTCAAAAGCTCTTTTGTATATTTATAGATTTTGAGAAATGTTATGATAAAATAGATAGGGTATTACTTTTAAACAAACTCTTACAACAAAACACTAGCTCCAGATTTGTTAGAACTATCAGATCTATGTATGAAACAGTAAAATTTTGTGTGCGTCACAAGACAACGTCCCACTTTTTCGAATCGGGGGTAGGATTGAAGCAGGGGGACCCGAGTTCCACTTTGCTATTTTTATTTTTCGTGAATGATCTAAAAGAAAACATAAACTCAAACTTAGACGGAGTAATTAGTGTTAATGAAATTCAGTTTTTCCTTATCATGTTTGCCGACGATACAGCACTTTTTGCCACAAACCCGATATCTTTGCAACTTATGCTAAATGACTTAGAAACATATTGTAATAGATGGGCGTTGAAAATAAATGCAAATAAAACGAAAGCGATGATTTTCGAAACAGGGAATAGGGGCTCAACGTACGATTTTTATTTAAATAGTATTAAGCTGGAACTTGTAACATCATTTAAATATCTAGGGGTATATTTTTTTAAGAACAATAACTGGAACCGAACTCAGAAAAGATTCGCGCAACACGCGTCTTTTTCACTGCACAATCTTTTTATTGTATGCAATCAATTAGAACTGCCAGTGTCCCAAAAATGTAATCTTTTTGATAGTCTTGTAAGTTCTATCTTGAATTATAGCGCGGAGGTTTGGGGATATCATGAAGGTAAAGATATTGAAATGATTCATACCAAGTTTTGTAGAAAAGTCTTAGGGGTAAAAATATCAACTAACAGGGAATATTTATATGGGGAGCTAGGACGATACCCGATGTTTGTGCATAGAAAATTTATAATGATAAAATTCTGGATAAAAATTTTAAACCTACCAACAAATAGTGCTGTTTTTAGTGTATATAATATGTTACGGTCAGATGCAGATAATCGAAAAAATTATAATGGTTCTAACTGGGCATGTTATGTTAAACAAATACTTGATGAAATAGGAATGACAAATGTATGGTTAAGTCAAGCAAATATAAGTGTAAATTTTCAGTCCATTAAACAGCGTATCCTTGATATATACAAACAAGAATGGTATACAAGTATAAATAATTCAAGTCGACTTACATCATACGCGCTATTTAAGCACGACTTTGTTTTTGAAAATTATTTAAACTTTATAACCGATAAACGTTTCAGAATCGCATTATGTAGGTTTAGAACTTCATCTCATAGTCTACATATCGAAATTGGAAGGTATAACAACATAGATAGAATAAATAGATTATGTAATAATTGTACCATGCATAAATTAGAAGATGAATACCATTTTTTATTAGTTTGCCCTAAATACAGACATCTAAGACATAAATACTTTAAAAGATTTTATTGCCATTGGCCAAGTATTTTTAAATTTGAAAAGATTATGTCAGAGCACCAAAAAAGTACAGTTAACAAAGTTGCCAAATATATATACTTTGCGAACAATTTAAGAAATTAAAAGATGGATGATATCGAGTATACTTCTCTGACTATTCTGTATGTTTTGTTTTTTGTTTAGCTTCATTTCAAGTTCACATCAGTATATGATTGTAAATATTGGCTATATGCACCTTTCAGGTGTTTAATGCTTAATAAATGTTGTTGTTGTTGTTGTTGTTGTTGCTTATCAATGTAGCACTTGATCGCTATTGTACTTTTTACAAAGGATAACCCATACTCCAATCAAATAAAGTCCAAGCCATTCAATGTACGCAAACTGTAATTGCTTTTTTATACGTCTTGACTACCGAATAACGTCAATAAGCATGATAATAACTAATAATTGACAATTTATTTTCTTCAGGGTCCAAACAGGTATCTATAACATGCATACATATTTCTTTACACATTTCTATAGCACCTGCGTTTATATGCTTTTTGAGTCATTAGATTATAATAAATACTCTGTATGATTATGTTTATATTTGGTTGAAGCTAGAAGTTCCTTATTCCTTTTTCGAATAAGGAATAGGGAACTAGTAACTTTAAGTACATAATTTAAAGTGCTCAGAGTCGAAAGAAATGTCGAATTTTAATTGATTTAACAAAACTTAACAACTCAAGAAAGACATTAAAATAACTCTACCTAAGACAAAACATGACGTAAAAATTTCAAACTGACGATAAAAGAAAGACCGGGGGCATTTAGAACCAGATTTATGTCTTGACATCTGCACATCTGGCACTAAACGTTATTCTCACAAATAAATATAGAGAGTATTTATCAATATAAACAACAATAAAACAAAATTTTCTCATATTCATGTTTGTGTTCATCTTGTTTTTTCTAACTTTATCAGAGGGTTAATTTAAACTGAATGACAGATATTTGTTTTTACATTGATTTCTGTCCGTTTCTAAGAAAAGTTGACAACCAAGATTAACGGACATGTCTATACGCCGTATTTCGGCATAGGTACCTGAATGCTTCTTGCCGTTATGCGATGATTGATGCCCTCGAATCAATTATGTCAATATATCAAGAGCGCATGAATCTATAGCAAATATGCCAAATCGTATGTGTTGCGCATAGATAGAACCGGGCTATAACAAGAGCACGCATGGTTTTGATCCAGTTAAAACTTTGGCAAAAGAGGGAAAATAGCCGATTTTTTCTATAATATGTTTTGATAATAACTTTTGATTAATTGTTCATTATCAAATGTTTAACCTTTCATAACCTTATGCATATTATATGCCTTTGTTTTTAAAATATCTTGAAATCTTGGTTTGTTAAAAATGACAAATATAATAACATTTAAATAATCAATCATGAAAAGAAATGAATGTACGGTAATTTAAAGATGAAATAGCGATATCATATATATGTGTAAATTATCGCTGAATTTGCTGAATGATATAGTGGTATTGTAAACAAACGCTGTCATTGAAATTGAGTGGATGGGGAACAGCCTAGCACTCCCCCTCCTTGACGTATCAGAATGGAACATGACTAAAAGCATAGTTCATACTAGATGCTTTGCGTATTTTATTGGAAAGTAAGCATCACTTGACTTTTAGAATAAAGTGTTCATATTTGATTACGATTACATTGATTTAAATACTTTAAATCTAATTCCCCTAATATGGTGACATTCGTTCCGTTCCGTTTCTCAAAGTAGAAATAACTAATGATATTACAAAAATTTGATGATTAGAAAAATCAGTAAGAATTGTTTCTTATAAAAAAATCGGAATTACAATAACTAGAAAAAATACTGATAAGAGTCTGCTAAAGTATCACCATGTTGTATTTTTAGTGGAGGAACTAAAATCAAAGTTGAAGGGGAAAAGTTAAACAACGCACACAATGCTAGATTTACAGTAAATTACATGCAAGACATTGAGGTAAATTCTTTAAATATTTTTAGTAACTTGTTTAGCTGTAGGGCCAAGTCGAAAAAAATGCAGACAGTAGTGTCTTTGTGCTCATTTCATACAGTCCTTCATGTGGTTTAGTATCTACAAGAATTTGAAGGTAGGACTCTGGTTGTTGCATATATGACACATTGTTTCACTATTGTGGTTATTTGTGCCATGCAATTTGAAAATCTCTTTCACCATTTAACATTATGGAATGGATACAAAATATGCCCTATAAAAGACCATGTTAAGCTTTTACCTATAAGTGTGGCCTTGACCACCCACCGAGATAAGGGTCCGGATGTTGTGCATGACACATTGTCTTATTATTGTCAACATTTGTGCCAAGTTATTGATAAATGAACAGTTATGTACCGAACAAATCAAATACAATCGAACAATTTGATCTCCAAGTGTTACCTTGACCTTAAAGGAGTAGGTCTGGGTGTTGCACATGACATATCGTCTTATTATTCTGAACATTTGAGCCAAATAATTTCAAAATCCCTTGATCTATTAAGGAGTTAGGGACCGGACACAATATATACTATATAACAGACTATGTTAATCTTTGACCTGCAATTGTTACCTAGACCTTGAAGGTAGGTGACTCATTGTTAAACATGACACATTGCCATATCATTGTTAGCATTTGTGCCAAGTATTTTCAAAATCCTTTCAAAGATAAGAAGGTTATGGACCGGACACGACATATACCCTCAAAGAGACAATGTTGACCTTTAATCACCAAGTGTGACCTTGACCTTGACGGTAAAAGTCCGGTTTTGCGCATGACACATCGTCTTATAATAACAAACATTTGTGCCAAGATATTTCGAATTCATTCGATAAATGACATAGTGATGGAGCGGACACGAATGTGTGACTGACTGACGGACGGATGTGCCAACACTTGGGATTTACGTGCTTTTTCTTTGGTCCTTATGTTAAACCAGTAAAATAACCACATTAAACAGTTGGTTTATGGTATTTCCTTCTTTTTTAGATTATGGACGGAATGAAGCTCGAAAACCATGAGATGTTTGCCCGGACAGACTAACTGACGGACTGACAGACGGGACCATTCCTATAATCTGCTTTGCGGAAGGGGATTAACAATGAAATCTGGGAATTATATTCGCCATTCTAAAATAAAATGTAAAGGAAAATTCTTTAACTTTCTAGTTGAATTGCTCAGATATTTAAGTTCTGTTTAACTTTTTGCATACTTCTTGCATTAAGACTTCATTTCATTTTCTAATGAACAGTGTATCATTTGTAAGAATTTAGTGAGTGTATCTAACACAAGATCTGAGTTTTAAACTTTGTCAAAAATAACTGGAATGTTATCAGAACTTATCAGGTGCCCTTAGTTTGTAATGGTCAATAGTGTCTGGTATATAACATGATTATTGAAATGTTCAATTGATATAATGTTTATAATTTTATATATGTTTGCATATTAATCAAGTATTTATAAAAAATAATTGTCTTACCGACTGCGAAGATGTTGGTGTTAGAAATTAAGTTCACTTTTCAAAACATCAAGATAAATAATCCTACAAGAAATTATTATGCCATTGTTATGCAAGCTGTGCTTACATTTTTATATGGCTGTGCATGCAAAACTAAGAACTAACATATACAAGTTAGCCGGTATCTTTTATACGCCGACGGAATTCCGGCTTATATTGTTATGGACCTGGTTGTCACTCCGTCCTGCTGTTAGCAGGTTCTGTGTCCGGTCTGTATCTTTTGAACCGAAGAAAGAAAATTCAAACTACTTAGCAGGATTGTTTACCATAATAAGACAATATGCAGAGCGCACGTTTGACCTTTCTCAGGTTAAGGTCAATGTCACACTTAGTTATTTTGATTTAATATCAACATTTTTGCCCGCTTTGTATCTTTTGAACCGATAGCTTTAAAGAAATCAGTTTTCTTTGGAAGAAATATTACGTATATAAAGACGGTGTACTTAACACAAATCAATTGAAACTGATGTTACTTGAGATATGTAAATTCACTTAATAACAATAAGTTGTAAATGAGGCATATGAAATATCAATACATCAATATCAATGTATCTTAAATGTTATCAAAACTCTGGACAAGAATACTGTTTTGCTTTAATGTGGGCAGTCTCTCTCTGATTGAAAGACTGATATATATATTCATGGGAATAAATACCAATATAATACTTTTAGCAAACTGTATTTTGAATAACTGTATTTTTTAAGCATCAAAGTATGTAATACCAACACATGTTCGTATGCCCAAAAATATTATATTTATATTAAGCTAAGATATTTTGCATGAAGCATCCCTTGTTAACATTTATATTTTTTTTTATAAATCATGCTCCTGAGGGGTCAATATTGGTCCTGCACCAGGGATCAAATAGCCCAAATCTTTTTCTCATGTATGTATTCATATATAAAGTTAAAAATCCCAGATCTTAGTTATTTGGCATAAAATTATCAATATATAGCAGGACCCTGCTATTATTCCAGAACGCATTTCACTGAATGATATCAAAAATGGATTTTTAGCATGTATCATCACTTTGTAAATGTAGAATTTTCAGTTTTGTACTGGATGTTGGTGTGAGTATTGATGTTATAAATGTAAAGGGAGGTAATAAAAAGAAGAACATTAATTGTAAGCATGGCATTTTGATGTATTTAAATTTTTAGGCATAATATTTTGTGCTTTTGAATTTCTGGTATAATATTATTTATTTATATGTTTCTTTGATTTTTTATCATTTAAAATTTGGAAACAAACTGATCCCTCGGAAGCATTAATCACAACAAAATTACAAGAGAATTGCAGACTCGGTTTGATTGAGTCTGTCCATGAGGGATAATGAAAACGTGCAACATCCCTCACAACCCCTAGCACCGGCTTGAGCGGTACTCAATTCTCAACACTTAATAGTGCTGGTATCAATGATCCCGAAGGACCAGAAAAATATAACAACTCTGAAGTGAAGTACGGGGCAACTTTTTACAGCTGCCACACAGCACTTGACACCTGCTTATTATTGTTTTAGTCAGTATTTAAACTCCGTGACAATTACAGGGAGATAAATAGTCACCACACTGTGCTTCGTTATTAGGTTCAAATGGCATGGATGGTTACATTTCGTGGGTCGGTACTATATAGTGAAAGCTCTGGTACATATAAGTGTCTCTAAGTTTTAATGTGACAAGAGCATAGTTCTTTGGCATGAATCTATATTGATCTTAATGATAATTGAAATAAAACATATTTTGACAATTACTATAAATGGGTATCCGCTATGTTAAAACATTATTTTTGATAACTTTAAATTTGATTTACTTAAAGAAGACGTCTATTGCCACGCTATGCAGTCCTCTTGTGTTAATGTTAATACTTGTTCTAACTATTTTTGTTTCAATACAGTGTTCTTGTAGAAATTGCCAAGTGAGAAATTCTGTTGAAGCAGTTTTTAAACTGGCCCACAAGAATCGAAGAAATAACGTGTAGCAATTTCTTCAAACATAGAAATATATTGGCAAAACTGGCTAGCTGTTAACTTCTTTGTATAAAAGAATCCAAAGACATTGACAGGATGCAACACACAACTGTAAAAAAAGTGAAGAAAACAGGAACAATTAGCCTAGATTCATTGGTCCTGTACGAAACTATAATGTCATTACCTGCGATTATTCAGTAAATCTTATTTTGTATGTGCTTGAAAATGGCATAAGCATGGTTCAAGTTTTCTAATACTCAACATGCTTTTTACAGATTGGCGAATGCATAATATTGTCAGAAAGTCTTGCAACTTGTGAAATCCCGAAAGCGCCCAAAGGATTTCAAAAGAATTTGTTTGAATTCGAGAACACAACGAACCACTTTTCAAAATATTATGCAATCACAGGGGTAATTCAATTCGATAACGTTGGAAGAGATGTTGAAATTCACTACCATCATGATCCAATTATTAGCATGCTAAGTGACAGTGAACATGTCGTAAAATTTAAAGAAGACGAAAGGCTCCTGAACATAACTGTACGCATTTTACATTAAAGTTTTAACATTACTAAATATACCAATATCATATTATTTAACTTATAAAATTACATTTAGAAACAATCTTAAGATAATTCTTTATACGGAGAGCATGTTTACTTTACACAGGTTCTACTTTAATGTCAATATCTATATCTATTGTATAATAAGTCTAATAATAATCAATTTCCGTAGGAATTTTTACCTAAATTGTGATCTCATGTGGATTTTACGAGAACGGATTATACTGGGCGCTTATCGCACACATCGAGATCTTGGCCTAGAAAAATTCATATGTTTCAGCACAAAAATACTCTTAAAATGTTATAAAAGAATTACGTTATAATATTACAAATTTTAAACATGCCAATGCAAAAAAACAACAACAGTTATAAAAACATATCGTAAATGATTCAGCTAAAATTACCTTTAGAATAGCTAGAAACGAGTGCAATAGAAAAAAGCTTCAAATCCTTTAACAGTTTCAGGGTAATATACTGAACTATGTTGCAACAAGGTTTGATGTAAATGTAACTGTCGGCGTGGAATCGTGTGTCATAGTAGAGCTCAACCTAACGTGTATTACATGCATTGCTCCTAAACACGAACCAAAGAGTGGAATACCAAATGCAACACGACCGGAAGTTAACGTAAGGAAAGTCTAATACGTTTTTATTATTTTCAAAAAAGAGAAATGGGATGACAGACACATCACCCTTTTTATGTTGAGTGTCTACGCAGTACGGAGCCCCTGGTATAAATGTGACAGTGCTTATGGCTTAGGAGCCGAAATTGATATAAATCTTTCTTAGCACATAAAACCAACGAAACGGTACTTCCGTCAGTTTTGCCTTGTTTCTCCTGGTGGCCTGTTATTCTTTATATAATATTTGCCACCATAACCTAGTTTACTTTTATTTCAATTCTAGGTATCAATTGGAAACATACGCAAGATGATTGGATATGTTGAATATGTTAAAAAGTCGCCGAGCATGATCAGGAGTTCTCCTAGTTCTTCCCATACTTCAGTTGTACTGTCGGCGACTGGAGCGAGTGCCGCGCTCATTTTTATCAATGTAACGGGTAATGTAATCACATATGCAAAATGTCCTGTTTTTTTTTTCATTTTTGTGTTTATGTAAATACGTGTGTGTTTATTGGAATTAAATCTAGCTATGTTTTGAAAATCACTGAGGTTATTACACAATAATATGGTCATTTGTGTGTACCTATTTATTTACTGTCTCCACTTGAATAACTGTATGACAAAATGCTCTCGCGAACAAAATTTTAAAATAACACATATTTGCTTTTTCTTAATTAACTATGCATTTTAAATGAGATGTATTAACGTTTCGGAATAAATGATTAATTAAATACAAAATATGCCTTATAGTTTGGCACTCCTGTTTATTATCTATAGAACTGTGGGAGAATGGGTTTTTGGTTATGCAGTATTTTGTATGGGCGTTAAATATTTAAAAAAAAAAGGAATTACATTTGGCATACCGGAAAGTAGTCATTATTTAGTTCGTGTTAGTTTTCAAATTGACTCCTTTAATTACATTTATTTCATTTTAACAGCTGTAGTTTTGATATGTCGACAATACAGAAAAACAAAGTCAAGATTACGAAATGTTGTAAACACTACGAAAGAAGAAATCCCTTGTGAGTTACAATTGAGCAGGTACGTTAATTCAATACAATTTTTCGGCCGAAGGCAAGACTGAATATAAGCAGAGTTTTCATTGGTCATTACAAAATACAAATCTCATTAGCCATTCTAAAATAAATTATAAAGGATAATTCTTGTAATTCTAAGACAGTTCTAAACTAAAATGTAAAGGATAGCTCTTGCTATTACAAAAAAGTGTAAAGGGTAGTTTGTGTTGTCTATTGTGTTATATTATTATTAATGCCTTCAATTGATATAATGTAATTCATTTTCATATATTTTTACATGTTAATCAATAAATCATATAAATAACTTCCTATTGACTGCGTAGATGTTGATGTTAGAAATTGAGTTTACTTATCGAAAAGGTCAGGTTCGTCAGAAACACATGCATCTTAAGTTGTTTCATTTTACAGGTTATAATAACCCTACTAGAAAATTTATGTCATTGTTTTGCAAGCTATGCTAACATCTTTATATGAATTTGCATGGAAAACTAAGATCTAACATATGCGTCGATGTTGATGTTAGAAATTGAGATCATTTACCGAAACACGACAGTTCGTTAAGAAACGCTTACCTCTTAAATTGTTCCATTTTACAATATTATAAAAACACTACAATAAATTTCATGTTATAGTTAACAAGCTATGTTAACATTTCTTTATGACTTTGCATGACAAACTTAGAACTAACATATGCAAGTAAACCAGTTTTAGGGTTAGGGTTAGGGTTAGGGTTCGGCCTTATATCTTTTTTATAAATAGATATTCCGGCATGGTGATTTTGCTTAGGCAAGAAATTTATAGCTTTTTTGTATCTCAGAATGATCTCGGTATCTATAAATAATACGATAGTACACTGCGGTCAAAAAATGGTTTTGACTCCTTCAGATAGTGATGTTAATATAAGTATCCTTAGCTAGTTCATTGTCTCATTGTTTGTCAACCAGTGTTACAATCATTCCATATATCGAATATGATATTTCTAGACGCCAACACCAAATTGAATATCAAAGTTATATAGTCACTCTGCATTGTTTTCAAATAATTCGAAGTCGGCTTGATTGATTACCAGTTATGTCGGTGCAAGGTCTTCATGGAGGGGCGTGAGAGATATAACTTTGCCTTTCATAAGTATTCTCAATCAAACCTTATCTGAAGTTGTTAACAATTATTTTTGCAAAGTAATATCACCCTTTCAACTTAGATTGTTAACTTTTTGGTTATTACAAGTGACACTTTCAGAAGGTCTTGTAACGGATGGCGAATTAATGCAATAAAAGTAAGCCCAACTTTTCGACTGGAGAAATTTATTCATTCGTACTCAATAAATTCTACGTCGAAACTGAAATTAAAAAACAAAAGACAAAAATTACGAAGAGGACTAATTTCAACACACTCGCAAAATCTCATTATAAAACACTTGCTTACACAAAAATGAAAACAAACACTCACACAAAAAAATACACTCCTTTACATAACATTAAATTACATCATAATATATCACAACATAAAATATTCAAACCTCTTTCGAAAAGACATATATCTTTAAAATTTATTTTTTTTTTTAAAAGATTATCACGAAAGCCATTTTTTAGCTTTTTAGACTTGCGTTCAAACCGTTAAAAGTTTTTACTTTTAACTTGAAATAAATGTTGACCCTCAAGGGCAGGTAAGTCTGCTAAGCATATTTGCAGAACTAATCAACCTTTCTCTATGTTGCTTTTATCTTACTATCCAGCACTGAGAAATGTGAAACATTCTGTTAGCGGACATGTCTTGTTGTATTTATCATATTGATAAAAGACTCATTAAATGGGTCCAAACTTAATTAGTTAAATGTATGGACGCTTCAGAATAATGTTAAATAGAAATAATTACATTGAGGTATTAAAATAGTCTTTCTTAACAATTTAAGCTTATTGTCGAAAAGCTGGAATTTCACAATCAAGATCATTGCCTTTAATAAGCAAAACAGAAATTAAGGGCAAAGACAAACACATCAAAATATGTGAACATTCAAATATCGCCCTTTTATTCAAAGTTATACTGTTCTTTATTTTTGCCCATTTCACAGCTTTATTTATCCATATGACGATTTTGTTTATCACAGAATAGCGGGTTCGTCGTCTGAGAAGGACGAGGTCTACAATGAGCCCTATGAATCCGACCACTATGACACTATCGCAGCAGACGACATTTCAATTGATAGATGCGAAACTGATAATAATTATCTTACGTGTCCACACGAGAGCGTTTCCGAGGCAAGCAATTCAACAAGTGACCAATCACAAAATTATTTGAGCCCGACGAACCGTATTACTGTAGAAGTTCAGCTAGAAGAGACAAAAGCAACCAATGTTGAATCTGGACCCGAACTCACTGACGATCAGTTATATTTACATGTTATTAACGATTGTGACCATTCAGATTAGCTTCTTGAATAAAAACATGTATCGGACAATCCGTTCACAGGCTGCTTGAATACGAATACGAAACGCAGGCTTAAATTGTTTGGTTTCTTTACTGTGTTTCATGATTTTTTGTTGTTGTCTATGTTTTTATTTCCAAAATTATTTGAGCCCGACGATCCATATTACTGTAGAAGTTCAGCTAGAAGAGACAATGGCAACGAATGTTGAATCCGGACGATTAGTTATATTTACATGATTTTAACGATAGTGACCTTTCAGATTAGCTTCTTGGATTAAAAAGTATCGAACAATCCGTTCACAGTCACAATGCTAGAATACGATTACGCAACGCAAGCTTTAATTGTTTTTTTAGTGTGTTTCATTTTTGTTTTTGTTTTTTGTTGTCTATGTTTTTATTTGTTTGCTGTTTTTCGCGACTTTTAGTGTTAGATTTTACAAGTTTAAGATACGCTCAAATTTAATTCGAAACCATTGATAATTACTATACACACCATAGTTAAACTCTGTATGAATACATGTTGTCATTTAAAAAAAAACAAGCAGTTTCTAAAAGAAAGATCAAAATCAATATGACCAGTAATAGCTAGAGAATGCAGTTTCCCCAGAATAGTTTGTGCATTCTCTTATTCAGATTTGATATGTCCAGTAAAAAATTATAAGATTTCAATTTCCTGCAATAATATTATTTTACCCATAGCTATATCTATATAGTATATCTAACAGAAAACAGGCAAGAAATATTTTTATGACAAGATGTTTTGCAATATTTATATGACATAATATATGCATGCATATTCAAAATGTAAATAGTTTGTACAGAAAAAGAAAACAAACATTTTTTTGTGCTTGAATCATGCTCTTGTAGACTTGTACGAGGGCTGTTCAAAAAGTTCGTGGACTGCGGCTCTACTGTTCACATCTTTTAATTTGCGTATATGATTTTACAAGAGACATATACGAAAATATGTCCTTATTTAACAGTGAAAAAATCAATTCAAATAACAATTCTGTGACAGTTACAAATTACAAGGGGTGCACAATCCGGCGCACGCTGATTACGAAACAAAATTACGTTCGTGACGTCGCAATATAAATGAAACGTTTTACCAGCGTCATTGTTTCTGAAAGTTCTCTTTTTAGTGTTCAATATTCGCAGATCATTTACCAAAACCATTTTTCTATTTGTGATGATGACCCGAGATATAAAGTGGTAATCTTTTCGCTCCATTCTCCGTCCTAGTGCCGCATACTTTCCGCTCTTTATCGGGATTTTTTAGTAATTTCGACATTTAACGGACAGTGTTATTAGGTTAATTCAATTGTTGATTTAAAGTATAATTTGAAACCGCCCTCGTCCGATCTTTAAACAATCTTTAATGATTATGATTATGATTATCAATGATAAGGAAAAACATTTTACCAACTGACAATTATTCTATGCGGTAAATCTACTGAACACCGGTTAGCATTAATTATCAAACGGACAAGGGTAAATAATCGTAATACAAATAATAACTACAATTATTTATTGTAAATACGCATTTATCGTGGTGAATGAAAAAAATATAATTTTAATTAAATTGAATCGTTTTGTCAGAATTGAATGCATAGACCCGATGCAGAATTTAAACATGTCGGACATGTCGCAAACAGTTCATACTGTCTGGACTTCAGTTGACGTTACAAACGTCCAAAAAATTTGCCGCTAAAATTCTCCGTCACCCTTTCTGTCTGTGAGCATGTATTTTCCGTATGTGAATCGCATGCGCGACCTGAAACCAAGAGACTTGTTCGCCAACTCATTGTTATTAGTTAATTTAATCACCACATAAAAATATGAAAGAAGTATCCCACATCTAGTGGTAAAAATTTCCGAAAGAGCAAATTTCTAGTTTTTAAACGGACTTTATACTTCCCAACTTACCCGTCTGTCTACTGCTGCTCAAAACCTGTTTGTTCAGCTGTTCAACGTCCAAACGACGTCAAATTTTAGATTTATGTCATTTAAATATTATTAGATGATTACTTGTATTTTACTTCATAAAACAATCATTCAGTTTGTTTCAACATTTGTATATATTTAAGCATTATATGAAAATTTCGGCGTGCGCCGATGTTGCGTTGCCATGGTTATTAAAGTGCACATAACTCGTAAAGGGAATACAAGTTTACAATAAAAGTAAATCTTACTTTTAGAAGTAAAGACACTCTTTCGATTCATATCTACTAAGGGTGTTTTTATGAACCAAGTAAAAAATGACAGCAAAAATCCACGAACTTTTTGAACATACCTCGAACATAAAAGGATTATTAATTTAATGGACTGTTATATGTGTATAACAGTTTCAACACTTCTCTCCATTTTCAATTTTAAATATTTCATTTTTCCTATACTCTGCGCTTATTTTCAATAATCGGGGGACTATTAGAGTTGTAATTTGCCCGATATTTCCTTTGTATTTATGACACTCATTGTCACTGTTTATTAATTAAAACAAACGCTTTTCAATCATTAAGTCAAACGAAAAATCGATGATTCACTGACAAATTTACAAAATAATTTTAATTAAATGCTTATCATATGCATGTGTCATACCAAAGACGTTATCAAATGTTATCTTTCAAAGAAACAACCATATATAATCAGTTCAATAAAAACAAACGCTTTTCTTAAGCTTTCGACGTTTAGTCTTCTTCAGAAAAAATTGACGTTTATAAAATGACAAATGACGCAACGTCCGTTTAACTATACGCTAAACAGAACGTGACGTTAACGCGGGAATAAAAACTTTGTCCAATAAATACAGAATCTTTCATGAATATAAATACAGCAATATACAATAAATTACACATATAATATGGATCTGCACATGTGATACAAAAATTCTCATAATTAATAATAATAAAAACCCTTGATATGAGAAAAAACATACTACATGTATATGTATACCGGCTCAATAATGACAAAGTTATATATTGTACAAAACTTTTGCATTCATACCATTAGGAGATAATGTGTTAAGCTTATGAAATCCAGTAATGATTCTTGTAATAAGCTTCCATATCATCGGTGACAATCTCTATAGTCATAAATTTAAAATCCTTAATACAATGATTGGTTTTATTAAAGTGTGTAGCGACATTGGTCGAAAATAACGGATCGGAAAAATTGTTGATATCAAACCTATGGCTATTCATGCGTTTAGACACTTGTTGCTTCGTTTGACCAACATATTACTCTTTACATTTATCACAAGTGACAAGATATATAACAGGAAGTCTTGGATGCATTAACACATTGGACTACAATATTCTGATTTTAAGTAAAATAATTTGAAAATGATTAATTATTAATTTTTTTTGGAGATGGATTTAGATTTCAATAAATTATAAAATAGATGTCTGTTTCTTTATCATTATTTTTTCTCAGCTATAAGTTATTTTCATTTAGTTGTGTTTGAAGCCACGATAATGACATGGCGGTTTTTCAAATTAACTGGTGGAAAAAGATTTCAACTTTAAAGCTAGCAATTACCACTTCCGTTCATTAACAGGCTCAATCAAACCGAGCCTGCAGCATTTTCAATTTTGCCTTGTTGGGCTTTCTTTAGAAATTCCGTTTTTCTCTATTCAGATGCTCCTTTATGCCATCTAGATATTTTCTTAATTGAATGGATTGTAAATTGTGGTGTTTGGTGTTTTTGTATAAACTCTTTAAATGAAGTTTATACTGATATTGCAGGCTCAAATGATAAAATATATGTCTCCTTATAAAATGTTACTATAAACTTTCCGTGTTTGCATCATGTTATGTTCCAATTAAAAACCATTGTACGATCCAATCGTATCAATTAAGGTTCATTATCACTTCCAATTGCAAAAAAGAAAAAAAAAAACAAAAAAGAAAAAAAAACAACAACAACTGTATGTCAAAAAAAAAAAAAAAAAAGAGAACAGTATCCCTAAATAAAGTCCAACATTGCAAAATTGAAAAGGTTGCATGCTCGGTTTGATTGAGCCTGTTCATCGGTAATGTCAAGTGCAATCTACTGTCCACGCTACCTATCACTAGCTTAAGCAGAATTCAACATTTAACATGAATTCAATATTTAAAGACGAAGATGGTGATATTTTGAGTTAAGAACCACCCGCATATGATTTCATATGGCGGTTTTCATGGAATCTTCAATGTGACACGTTGGTGTCATTCTATGAAAAGCGGCGCATAGTTTCCATGTAATAGAACTACATCTGTATATTGTACTCCATGAAGCCTCATTTATCATTCTCTAGTCCAAAACATCCGTATCAAATTCATATGTTACTATGTCTTGTCGTTTTATTTTACTTTCGTTTTATTATGTGTGATATATGCACTAAATATAGTCCTGCAAATAAAAGTGATTGCTAGGAGTCAAAATGGGAAAAGTTTGGTTTACAACAAAAAATGTGTGGTAACCAGCTGAACACTTCTCCTGAAGACCTAGCTTTAACAAGAAACGAAATGAGATCTACTACAAATATAATACAATTGCAATCAGTGTTCAATCATAGTAAAATGAAACTATTTTCGAAATGAACTGTATGCTACTGTAAGTTTTCGATACCTCTCCAATGGAATCAGGAGGGGGATATTTTTTGGCGTTTTATTTGGCAGTCAGAATTTTGTTTCCGCGCTATTTCTCTACAACTTCTGGCTGGAAATCAGCGAAACTTTATGGGAACCATCAATACCAAGAGGAAATGGGTACATCGTCGCCTTGTTTGGGTCCGACCTTTCAACGCAGTTATGGCCCCTAGATTAGTTATGCAGTATGCATATAGAGCAATAATCGTTTCCGTGCTACTTCTTTGCAACCAACTACTGGCTGGAATTCTTTGAAGATGCACATATCTTCGCCTTGTTTGGATCAGACCCTTCAATACAGTTATGGTCGATGAATAGTTATGTAGTATGCATATACAGCAATTAGTGTATCCTTGCCATTTCTTAGAAACTGCTTGATTTATTTCAAGATAACTTTGTGGAAACAATCAATACCAATAAGAAATGCACATATCAACACAATTTTTCCGGTCAGACCCTTCCACACCTTCAAGACCCTTGGTTAGTTAAGCAGTATGCATATAGAGCGATAATCGTTTCCACGCTATTTTTTCTGCAGCTGCTGGATGGATTTCAAGAAAACATTGTGGAAACAATCATTTTCAATAGAAAATGTGCATACAATGTATCATCACATTGTTCCGGTCGGATTTTTCAAGACAGAGTTATGGGACTTGATTAGTTTTGCAGTATGCATTTATAGGAACATTGCTAAATTGTCTTTGCTGAATTTTTTTCAACAAGACTTAATTGGAGCCATCGCAATCAATAAGAATAAAAATGTGCATCTCATTGGCATGTCCAGATAATACCTATATAACACCGATTTATGGCCCCTGTTATATATCGGATTTTTTATCATGTACATAGAATAACATTTTTATGCAATTTATTTTACAACAACTGACTGAATTTCAGCAGTTTTATGTCAATCATCAAAGACTGGTTTATATGAATATATAAATAAAGCCTTGGGTTTCCAGTTGTTGTGTTAGTGATAACCAGTGCTTGCACGGGGATATTCCGCAAAAAATCTTTAACCTTGATCATAATTTTTTAGGTTTTTGGTGTATTGTCTTCATATTTAGCAACAACCGTTGGGACAAGGCCTTTAAATAGACGAGACTAGATTTGACCTTCATTCATAAGTGACCTTGATCTTAAAGACATTTTCTACTGTTTTATGAAAATTTAATCCTTTCATAGAATTTTCTAAATTTTTTGTATGATAAGTAAAATTTAATGGCGAATTTAAAAATAAAAAGAAAAATATATGTTGACGTGTTGGATTACTTGTAAAATGGCAGTTTCCATGGTAACCGTATATCTCAAAACAGTCAAAATAGCCAAACTGTGTTTTAACAAATAGAAAATGTATAAGATAGCTAAATACACACAACAAGCATTGTTTTATGCAAAGATAACTTATCCAATGATTCTGTATGAAACAAATGATAATCTGAACATATTTCTTTTAAAAATTTCCATGTTCCATAACCGAACAAAAAATAAGAAAAATAAACATGAATTCTGTGAATAATTAAAGATATTGAAAATTTTCTTTCATATAATTTTCTATTTTTTTTGTATGTTGTGTAAAATTTAATGATGAATTAAAAAATAATGAGAAAAATATATGTTGACGTGGATTTTTTGAAAAAAGGCAGTTTCCATGGTAACCGTATATCTCAAAATTGTCAAAATAGCCAAACTG